GCCAGTGATGCTGCGCCCTCTACAGCTAAGATGGTGAACAACAGCTCGACCTGGAGCTGGGCTGCCATGAGCCGCAATGAGCGGCCGTCCAGTGGCCAGCGACCAATCTGCCTCAGCCAGAAAGAGCGCAATGATCACAATACCAACATGGGCCAGTGAAGCGACGCCCTCCACAACTAGACTGAAGAACAAAAGGACAGCAACTTGTCTGTTCCCCTTCCCCGGTTCCCCAACGCTGTTCCATCCCCCAGTTCCCCAATAAAATCTTAAAAAGAAAAATAGCATTTAACAATTAAGATGTTTTAAAAATGGAAATGCTCTCTTCATCCTACTCTCTGTAGAGAGTAGCAAACAATAAAACCCACTTAAGCTAGTTTAAATAAGAAAGCAATTCTAGGCAGTTCCTAGAATGTCTTGGAGGGCCAGAGAGTCTGTGCTTGAGGCTACCAGCTAGGGAAGATGCTCAGCCATCACCAGCAGACTGCTTCGCTGAAGACCCACTGCTCTTCTGCTAGTCCCATGCACCTTTGCTTGCATCACCAGTGCTGAGTGCTACATACTAAAGCTATGCAACTTTTATTCCCTGAAGCTTTTCCTCTCCATTGCCGCCCTTACCAGAACATGGATTCTTGCCTTCTCATATAGCTCACTTATGAATAAAATCTCAAATCAGTGCATCTGACTGGCAGAGAATATACAATGAAAGACTGGCGTATCTAGCTTCTAATGTGGGAGATGGATGCATAATGTGGGGTAGTCTCCAAATATGAGAATGATATGGCTGGGAAGCCACCAAGCACAGCAAATACTCTCCATTGGCAGTATGGTTCCAGTGGAGAAGATAGAAAGTCGATAGGTCTAGATAGATCAGATGTTACAAGTGAGAGAGAGGGGGGCATGATAAGTGACTCGCAGATTTCAGGTTTGCCTAATGTGGTGGATGGTGGCTCCGTTACTGAGATGGGGAGGTCTTGAAGGAGGAGCATGTTTAGTGCAAAAAGGGCAGCTAGGATCAAGAGTTAAGTTTGAATGAGGAAATGAGAGCAGAAGTGACATAGTAATTGAATCTCTTCATATCAGTCTATAAAAGGAAACAAATAAAAAGACAACAGCACCAAAAACTCATGGGCATCATCTTCAGTAGTTGGTGACAAGGTATTCCCATACACTAACAAATGTGAATGGGTAAAGAGTAACCACTGACAGCTATAAGATTTGATTATACCAACATCTTTGTAGGATATAGGAAAGTAAGGGGCATCAGATGGACCCAAGAACCCTAAGAAAACCAAGAAGTCCTCACTGGAAACCGTTTGAGCTGAAACTGAGAATTTTACACTCTCTAACAGTGAACGAGTACAAAGAGTTTGCAGTCAAGTCTGAAGGGGCCCGAGAAGTCTCGTCTCCAAATTCCCAGACTAACTAGTCACAGCTTACTTCTAGGACAAAGCCTCACAATGATGAGAAATTGCTGCAAGGAGAATCTAATTGAGCAGCACAGGAACAACAGAATTAAAGGAAACGGCAGTCCCAAATAAAAGTAAAGGAGGACATATCTTCAGAAAATAAGCTGCCAAATTTTGTGAACCCTGCACAAATACAACAAAAGAGAACTCTTGAGCTGTAAAGTTAGAAGAACTATCTTGCACCACAAATACTCCTACAAGTTAAGGCAAATTAGTTTCAAGGATAAATGAGCAAAAAAAAAAGGATCAGATCTTAATGTTAACATGAAGAAAACAGATTAAGAAGCATAATAACATCCCTATAGAGAAGGAATGAACACTAGAGACATTACCACAACATAGATTAAAATTACAATCTAAAAGTTAAATATAAAAATGATACAAGATATGAAAGAACATTAATCAGAATTAGAATAACTCAGAAATTAGGTGATATATTCTCTGGAAAAAAATTATAAATAAAAGTAAAATATTTCAGAATTGAGAGTAAACTAAAACAACAACAACAACAAAAAACCCAAAATGAATAGAAAATAACAGATAAGGCCTTAAGGTAAATAGAAGCTAAGAAATGGAAAAAGTTTTTTCAATAAAGAACAAAGACCCACAATGAAGAATTTTCTCATTTTTAAGAAAATGAAATTATATTCTTCAAAATTGTTGATGTCATTCTCAACAAAATACCAGCAAACTGAATTTGGCAGCATAATCCGTTAAGAGCATTATATACCACAAACATCTGGGATTTATTCCTGGAATGCAAGGGTAGTTCAACATGAAAACCAATCTATGAAATACACCACATTAACAGAATAAAGGAAGAAAAACTACATGATCATCTCAATTGATGCAGAAAAGGCATGCTTTCCACACGAGTCTCCAGATGGGAACGCAGCCCTGTCAACATCTAGATTTTAGCCCAGTGAGACCCAATTCAGACTTCTGACCTTAAGAACAAACTGACAATAAATTTGTACTGTTTAAGCCACCTAGTTTGTGGTAATTTGTTACAGCAGTGATATAAAATACAAACTCCAAAAATAAAAATAATAAAAAACCTTCAAACAAGAACCGTATGGTAGAGCCCCCAGTCAAGCCACAAAACTATAAGTGATAGTAGAAAATTGTAGTTTTGAACCACTAACTTTTGTCTAAAAGCAATAAATAACTGGAATAGTAAGAATGTTATCAAATAAGTCTATTAGGTTGTCTTAAAAGAATCCATGAACTACACTAAAAAGGCTTCTACTGGGCAAGGAAGGGATCATTTGAACAGCAATAAGGATAATACTTTAATAGATTGAAACATCAAATACCTTTAAATCCATGACTTCATAAAGCTAGAACAAAACTGATTGCCTTTGGAGGATGTTAGAAAACCAACTAGGGGCTGGCTGAATGGTTCAGTTGGTTAAGGGCTCCTTCAAGAGTGTGAGCTCTGAGCAACAGTGGTTTGATTCCTAACTCAAGCTGAGCTGCCACTGAGCTGCCAACAGGTGGCAGAATGGCTCAGCTAAAAAAAAAAAAAAGAAGAAAACCAACTAATTATTTAGAAAACTGATAGGAAAATAAAAAGACTGAAACACTTAGCATACATTTCTTATTCTACTAAATACCAGAAGAGGAAAATTTTTCTTTATATAAGGTTTCTAGCTTATCAAGGAGTGATTAAATTATAATATTTCTATCATGCAATCTATAATTAATTAATGGATCTAGGTACTGAGAATTAGTATTAGCTAGAATTTCAAAACAAGGCCCAAACAGATAATGTATGAATCCTGAAGGGTGAACATAACACCATAATTAAGTAGTAGTCTTTAGAAAAAACATCCAAATCTGATATCTGATAAAGCCTCTTAATTTAACTATCAATTTATAGCTAACTCAAAGGAACATATTAAATTATACCAACAGGACACAGTCAGAAAATCCAACATAGGAAATTCTATATGTAAATTTCTTCAACAAATAAATTTTGAGGGGAAAAAAGGAGGAATTAAAAGACACCCAAAAGACATAATTTAAAAACTAATACTAAAGTATAGTGTTTAAGAATCTTCCTTTGGGCAATTCAACAATAAAGAAGGTTAGAGCTAAAAGATCTAATCCTGGAGCTCTCCAACATTTAGAGATCAATAGAAATGGGGGAGTCAGCAAAGGAGATTGAGAAGAGACTAAAGCAGGAGGTAAAGATGGGTGTCATAGAAGCCAAGAGAAGAGCGTGTTCTAAGATGGGGTACATTGTCAACTGAGTTAAATGCTGCTATGAAGTAAGATGAAGGCTGAAAATAGTCACCAAGTTTGTCAATATGGAGTTCATTGGTGATCTTGCTAAGAGCAGTGTCAGAGGAGACTGAAGGCAAAGCTAAATCAAAATGACAGTAACTGGAAAGGGAGAAGACAAGAAACCACATATTTACAGGCAACGCTTTCAAGAAGTTTACCTAAGAAGAGGAGCAGAGAAATAGCCTTGTAGCTAGAGGAGAATGTGGGGTTAAGGGAGATTGATTTTTAAAGGAGGATTTGTTTGAGCATATGCTGAGGGAGAGGTTGAAGATATAGAAGAGAAAGAGCACAACTGAAAAAGAGAAATTCTGATGGAGTCCAAGGGGATGAAACCCAAAACACACATGAAAAGTCTGGTGTTCGATAGAGAGTTGCTCCCACTGCTCGACAAAGCAAAAGGAAAATGCAGACTTAGGTGTATTTGCAGATTTGGAGGTGGGAACCTCAGGGACTTCCTACCAAGTAGATTGAAACTGAATGGAAAGGATGTAATCAAAGACCATCATCCTCAAGGATGTGGACTTGAATCAGTCTATACCATTTATTACCCATGGGATTAAGGGTATTGGTGTCCAATTTCTTTGGATCATTTCATGGGGAATTTTAATTGGTATTTCCATCTTTTCATATGTTTATCAGTCATTTGTATTTCAGATTTATTTTAGTTTGTTTCATTAAAAAATGCTGATTAGGACTCACTAGATTGATTTAATGACTCACAGTTTGAAGAACTGATCTAGGCCATATTATATTACCTTTTTCAACCTAGTTCCTATTATGTGAAGTGAAAATAATCTCATAAGGTCGTTATGATGGTCAAATAAGACCGTATATGTAAAGTACATATACATGGTGCTGACTACACAGTTGTTCAATGAACGGAATCTATTATTAATACTATTTTTAAAAAGAAAGACAATAAGGCCTGAGTCTGGACAAAATCAACTACAATGCTGCCCAATCCCACCTAATGTTTTCACCAGAATCACAAGTACAACTCTCTCTGGTTCTCAAAATGGTATCACGACTTCCTGCTATGCATCAGCAGCTATGAGTATTTGTGTGGTTCTTCAGAAAGCATAAAAAAATTATGCTTGAGTTTTATTTGAAACACCCCCTTTCCATAAAATCTAGGTATTTGATAGGTAATGTAGACATTTTGATGGCATTCTAAATATTATAAATTTTAAAATATTTCTAAACACACATTTTTTTCCAAGCCAAAACATGTTCTCGTGCTTAAAATGCTGTTTCTAATTTCTAATTTATTCTTATGGGCTAATTTGCAAAACAAAATTGTTCGGATGATTGGTTTGCAGTAAACATGGTATACCAAATTGGTTTCTAAATTTAGAGAAAGGTTGAGTCTCCTCTTATAATAATTAAGAAATAATAGAAGTATTAATGATAATGAAGCTTTCATAATTAAAAAGTCAAATTCTGAAATAACAGGCAGAAATGAACGTTAGCAGGTGACAGCAACATAAATTATAATTCTCACAAATGGTTGTTTTGAGCTCTTTTCATGGGGTAATGTAACTTCTAAAACACAATTTACTAAATAATATATGTACCACATGTGTCATAATTAATTTCCATAGTCTTGGAGAATTTTGTACTATTAAATATAACAAAGATACTGGAAATAATACATAAAATTCTAAGAATCATAAAAGAAAGGCAAAGTTGTTTTAATAGGTGCCATGATTTCTATGTCTGATGTTTTAAAAAAATTTAAAAAGTAAAAATTATTGATATACATATAAATGTATTCAGAGAAAAATCTTATTTATGTCTAATAGGATTTGAGGATGAACTCTAGATTTTAAATACAGTAGACTCCATGTCCTTTCTTGGAGGTTTTTGAGGACTGATTTTTGGCAATATCTCTTTGGCATAAAAGGCTTTATGAAGTCCAGCTTCTCGAAGTGCCAACTCAAAACGAAGCCTAGGGTCAGAAATTATCTGTAGAAATAAAATACAATTTAAATAAATAAAAATTCATTGAACTAAAGTAAATTTTATCATTTAGTTCCATATTTCCCCAAGCTGCATAATTGTTTTTTTTCTGGATAGATGACTAGATGACAATAAATTTTGAATACAGAGTGACTATATTCTGGTTATTTTTACTGAAAATGTCCAAACCTTTTTGACATTATCACTTACTAGTGTATCAGTGGTTTCCAACATAAATGTATAGAATACTGTGTACTAGTCAAAATAAAACACATTAAAATGACTGAAAGATGAGATGAAAGAAGCTTAGTTTCATTACTATCATTAATTATTTACTGATAGCTGGAATTAGAAAATATAGACAATCATTGATTAAAATATAAATCTAAATTGCAACCTTGTGCATGTCTTTAAATAAACATTTTAATTTCTCCATCACTTGGCAATATGTAAATTAAGTTTGAACACATGGCCACTACTTGAAAAACAAAATCAATAGGACTTTTCTTCCAAGACCGGATTTCTATTTCAAGCAGAACTAGAAAATGCTTCCATCAATCTGATTCTAAGTGGGACTAGACATATGAGTAGTTCAATTTCTGTTTTCATTTATAGCTGATTGGACCTTATTCCTTCTTCTATGAATATTAAATGTCAACAGTGCTGTTTGCAATGATAAGAAGGTAGCCATATGGATTTCAGCTAATGAAGCATTTTACATGGACTTGAAGTTCCCTTAGAAGATTGAAAGCAGCCCCTCCTTCAAGGAGCTTTTTGAGAGGAGTAACAAGATTATACACAGATACTGGGTTTTTTTGGTAACATATGACAGAAATCCCAAGGGTCGGTACATCTACTGGTGCTGGGGAGATAGGATGGTCTCAGGTAAAGGGGAGCACTCAAGCTAACTGTCAAGTCCAACTTATTTCTTTATAAAGCAAAGGGGAGAGGAAGAGAGATTGAGCAAGAAAGGAAGGCACATGCAAACTTAGAGGTGAAGTAGGTCAATTTGGGATCAGGGTAGTCTGGGTAAAGTACCACTGGGGAACACTGTAGAAGGACACTTTTAAGACTGGGATTTGAATTTTAAAGGCTTGAAGTTTATGCCACTGAGTCTGGGGAGCTACTGAAGTGTGTTTATTTCTGTTTTAAGCATGGAAGTAATATAATCATTGTCATTGCATATAAAAGATGGATCTGATTGTAAGATCAGGATAAATTAAGGTGGCAGGGAAAGAAAGGATGGAGACAGGGAGAGTGGTTAGGGGTCTACTACAATTGTCCAGACATGTATTGGGTTGTTGGAAAAGTCATGAAGCATTTTTGCAACGAAAAACATAGAAAAGATATGCCCTGACTTTTCCGACAATCCAATAGTAATAAATGCCTCAACTTGGCTGGTAGCAAGGAAGAGAGAACTGTCAGAAACACTGAAGGAAAGACTAAATCTTGGCAACTGATCAGATACAGAGACTAGGGGCAATGATGCATTAAGTCAAGAATAATACAGAGATTGTGTCTGACAACCAACATATTTGAGCCTTAGGCCTAGGTTTCTTGTCTTCTGCTCCGTCATAGTCTCCCTGGTCACTCTCATCCACTTCCAGGGACTCAAGCTCCACCTGTGTGCTGGCTGACTCCCTCATTACCTCCAGGATTCACCTCTCTTCTCAGCTCTGGGGTGTTTAAATGTTTCTGATACTCCATTTTTTGAATAAACAAAGTGAAATGGGAATCTCCCTTGCATGCTGACCTCCATCTTCCCAATTCCTCCCCAGAGGCAGCCAATCAGTTTCTTGTAAATGTGCACTGGACATTTTCACCCTAAACATGACATGAACAAAAATTCTCTCTCCCCAATTTTGGTTTTCCTTATCTATGCTTTTATGGTAATGGCAGCAACACCTAATCATTATAATTTACTGAATCACTACTAGGTGCCAGGCAATATTCTAGGAAATTGACATTTTCTTATTCCTCACAGGATCTTGCAAATTATTATTTTACAGATGAAAAAAACAAGACAGAAAGATGGAAAATACCTTACACAAGTTCACACAGCCAGTAAATAGTGGAACAAACTGCCTAGTTGAGAATGATCCTCACTTTCATTACCACCCCCTTTCCTCAGCTAGAGCCACTCTTGCCCCTCCCCCACTACTGTGAGGGTTCTACCATCTTAAAAGGTTATGATCCCATGTCCCAGCCCACCAATTTTCCACTCAGGGCATATTGCTAAAAACACATCCGATTATACAATTCACCTGCTTCCAAGTTTCACCTTTCTCCTCAAGATAAAGGTCAAATGTCTTTGCTAGCAAGACCTATCTTCTTCACAGTCTGACCCTAACCTGTGTTTCCGGTCTCACCTCCCAGCACCCACCCTTGCCCTGTAGCTTACACTGCAGACACACCAGTAAGGACCTCTTTCCACCCACTTCTGCCTGGTGAAACCCTTACTCCTCGACCCAGGTGCCCGAGACCTTTCTAGCTTCTGACTTCAATTCTTCGCAAGCCCAGCTACCCTCTGGCTTTGGATTCCGGAAGCACCCTTATAATTTATCTCCCTCCCATCTCCCACTCCTTCCCCAACCTATTTTTTTTGGTTTTTAGCTTAAATCATCTGGAATGAATGTTGTTTCTGCTGCCAAAAATCCTCGACTAAGATGTAACTTAAGTTTCCTCTGACCCTTTCTCTGACTCCCCCAGTCAGGGCTAACCCCTGGTCGCTGCAGCCCTTACCTACATTATGGAGATGATCTCAACCTACAGGCATTATCCTCATATTTGTTGCCCATCCTCCCAACCCAGCTACCCTGCTCTCTTCCTCCACACAGGACACGTCTACCTTGTTCAGGATGGCAGCTCACACAGTGCCCAGATATAGTATTATAACATATGCTCTCTCAATATGTGTCCAATTAATAAATGAATTGTTCATCTTTGTATTCCCTAGCAAAGTATGCAGGACATAATCGAGGCACACTAGATTTACTTGTCAGTGGATAAATGAAGTTTACTGATTTTTAAATAATTAAATAAATATCAGCTCTCCTCAAATTGGCAAAATTAATAACTACTTTCTCCCTTAAGTTCAGGGGTACACATTCATTCATCTGTCCTTCCTCCATTCCATCCATCCAACTAAAAAACCTTTTTAAAATCCATTCTCAGTTACAGCAAGACTAAAATGAACCAAATTTTCTAGAAATGGTTAAATAACCCTTTAATACTTTTCCCACAGAACGTTTTATTTCATCATTAACTCTGATGTATTATCTTCTGTTCATTTTAATTTCTGAAAGCTTCCCTCTGCACCATCATTTGTTTCTTTAAAAGGATTTATGTTATGAATTTAAACAAATTCTGAATATGACAGAGAAATATTCACCAACAATATATAATATGAACACAATTTTAAAGTAAAATTTTGTAAGGTTATTTTTAAATTAAAAAAAAAATTTTCAATGATCAAGTCATAACATTTTCAGATAAACTTTTTCTATGGTTACCTATCATCTATTTTATAAAGAATTGTGCAGTAATTATGTGCTAACACTTAGAAATAAAAAATTATGCTGATATGTGTGTTATTCAAATGTAAATATTGAAAATGATTTGTAACCCAAAACATACACTTCTACAATTTTTATCATCATCATGGCTTTTGCATCAATCATGCTAATTCCCATAATTACCTGCTGTTCATTGTATGTATTCAATGTGAAGAGTGGCTTTTGAAGAACAAATTCTTCTTCAATTCCAATACCCATCCTTGCTTTCGATGCCATTGTACCTGACATCACTCTAACAGGGTCAAATTGAGCAACGATAGCAACCTAAAAAGAGAAAGCATGACTACTTGGAACAAGATCCAGACTACATACTTCTGGGCAATATTATTATTGTTTAATGTCCATTGAAATTAACAAGTTTTATTATAGATAAAACCTATGAGGGAAGGGTAGAAAGAATATTAAACCAGGCCAGTCCTAGAGATCCACAAAGGAGTTAATAGTTTAAAAACAAAATATAATATTAAAAGGTTGTGATATGTAATTGTTGCTGCTGATTGAATAGGTAGTTATGATTAAGTTTAGAAAAAAATTTGTCTTTCTGATACAAAATTTGTCTTTCTAATATAGAAAACCTGCATATTCACATAGCTTGAAAGTAACTAAAAGTAAAAAAAACTATTTAACCACTAGCAATCTACGGCCATCTTGACAACCTCATGAAACTTTTCAAAAAGTTTAATCTGATTAAGCTGAATCTAGAGCATATTATTCATGGGTAAAGTAGAGTTTGTTGGCATTATAGGGCAAGATGGGTGAATTTCCATTGTACCAGGCAACTAGATTTCTAGGACTGTTATAAACCATTGTTCTCCCTTTTACTGAACAACTGCAGAGTCACTTTAACCCAGATGCCCTTGTTCTTTATGATAATTGAAATCATTCAAATCTGTGTCTTAATGAAAAGAAGCCTCTAATTTTATAAATTACATGCACTATTAGTAACACCTGCCTGTTAATTCCTGCAGTCAAGAATTAGCATTAAGAAAATGACATTTTTCATGCCATTTAGAAACTGTAATGACCTAACTGGGGGTTGAACATACTGGGGAGTTGAAGACACTTTAATTATTATAGGTTTACTAGCCAAAAACTTAACCGGCACGGATATTTCCTCTTTCAAAGGGTTCACAAATGGAAAGAATTCTAATCATATGGACACTGTACTTATCAGTTATATTTTGAACAAGAATGCTTTTAGTAATAGTGACATTGTTTTGTTCCTAGAAGACCACAATATATAATTATTTGCAGATGATGGAATAATTTAAATTTTGTTAAATCTAGGATGACCAGGACTTAACATCCCTATGCTTTGAATTTCTCTAATCTATTTTATCCAAGAAGATGATATAACAGTGGAGTGCATTTACATTTCCTCTATATTATCTCATTTACCTAGGCTTTCTCAGTCTAGGACTAGGTAATAAATGTCAGACGGGTCTGACATTTGTTAGCTGTGTGACTGTGAAGGATCTCTGTGCCTCTTCAGTTTCCCCTTCTATTAAATAGGATTATAAATAATACCTACATCATAAGGTTTTTGTCAAGATTAAGTGAGGTAAAACCTAAGAGCATTTAGAAGAGAACTTTATACTTAGTAAATATTCCAAAAATGTGAATGAACATTACTACAAACCTATCAGGCAGGTACTAATATTATTCTCATTTTTTCAGAGGGGGAAATGAAACTTAGGGAGGTTTTAGTAAAAGATCTAAGTTTCTCCTGCCGATGAGTAGCGAACCAGGTTGTTCCAGGTTTGAAGAACATGAGAGGCCAGGTTCTTATCCGAGATTCTACTGGGTTGTCAGAAAAATCATGACATATTTTTTTCTGTTTTTTGTTGCAAAAATGCGTCATGACTTTTCCGACAGCCCAATATGTTGCCTCCACTGGCTTCGAAGGAAAACCAGACAGTCATTTCCTATCAGCTGGGAAGTAGTCAATGAAGACATCAGGGCTTCTGAGTTGAACTAATCACTTCCAGGTTAAAAACTCTGAAAAATTACCAAGTAAAACTATTTTATCACATTTCCCAAGTTCTTACCTAATCTTGCCACCTACTGTCTTTTTTCTAAACTTTTGCTTACTTTTATCAGACAAAGCAATGGGAGACATTTTTCCACAAAAAGTAATATTTTTAAAAAGTGTTTTGTTAACATGTTTGTTTTCTATGGGATATTCCCTACCACAAAGGGAGTAGGTTGCTCAAGCTTTACCAGGTTTTTTGAGGAGAGTAAAATCTTTGGGCTAGATGCAGCATTTCTAGCATCTAAATATATATGGATATTCAGCTATGAAACTAGAGGTAATGTGGATGCATTTAAACCTTGGGAGAACTTTTACAAAGGGGCTGATAAAGTTCTTTTTAATACACTAAGAACCTGGAAATGGTTCAACACAAATCTGATTGCTCCCAGGAATTAAGATCAGTGTCCCAATTTGGAAAAGTTACATTTTATATAGCAGATCTCATGAACTAAGTCCTAGTAATAATGTTATTAAGAGCACTTAGAAACGTTCTTTAAACCACCCATGAAAATTTTCAAATTAAAAACACCTGTTTCTTAAGGGCTTCTAGCCGCCTCTCTCTTTCTTCCTCTTCATGTGCTTCTTGAAGAGCCACTTCTTTTTTCTCCATCAAACGCTTTTCCAGTAATTCTTGTCTATATTTAACCCTTTAGAAATAATGCACAGGGAAGTTGGGAAAACATCATAATCTTGAAGATTAAATGGATAAAAGCACAGCGGCAGAAGGAATCTCAGAGGTGACATCCCAGTCATCGTTTTTCCTTGCTTTTGGTTGATTTCTCAAATTCAAACAATACAATGCCATTTACAATAATTCTACTAACAACCAGAGAAACTGCAGGTCATGGGGCAGGAAAACCCGGGGTAAAATCTAATCCATCCCTTTTTTCATTGAATTCACCGTTACGCACTCTCAAAATTTCTGTCGCCTGCCACACTGGCAGCTAATTCGATCTGACAGATGAAACTCTTAAGTGAATTATAGCTGTCTTCTGATGTGTATTAACACAATGAGATGGTAAAAAGGCTATGTTACTGCTTAAATCTACATATTTTTAAAAGCAAGAATAGTAAATAAAATACTATAACAACAATCCCCAAATTATCTCAATGACTAGAACTTAAACCAATCTATATTGTCACTCATTTTGAAAGAATGCCGTGTGTGTGTTTGTGTGTGTGTGAAGAAACTAAAAATTGCACTTTGACTGTAGATGGCAGCAAAAACATGACTTTCCCATACCACTATGTTTCCATCTTCCTTAAAATCAGCAGATATTAAAACAGGGCACCTTTAAATACCTGTTTTAATACCTCCAGGCTCCTTTGGCCCTCCTCTACTGCCTTTTTTGGGCAGCCTCCTTTATCACCTTCTTGCCCAAGCTACTCTTCTGAATTAGATATGAGATGCCTTTTCAAAAAAGTAGTCACCTGGGTTCCCCAGGGAGTATGAGGCCATTGCCCCTCTTCCATCATTAATGATTTAGATTTAACTTTATTTGTGACATCAGTTACAAATGTGCATTGCCCTTAGCGTGCACACCTGCATTTTCCATGGATCTACTTCACTAGACCCTGTTTATTCTGGATCCTGAACACTGAGGAGTTCACTGTGCATCAAGTCTTGTGCTAAGTGCTTTACATGTTACAGCCCTATGTTGGGGTACCATTGTTGATCCCATTTTAAAGATAAAGGAATAAAGGCAGAGACAGGTGATGCAACTTATCCAAGTATTCACAACTAGAAAGTGGCAGCACCAGAGATCAAACTCAGGAAGACCAGCCCCCAGAGACCAGCCCCAGCTCTCACCCTCCAACCCCCATGTAATTCACCACTAATGCTCTTCTCTCTTCTCCCCTTGATGGTTCACCTGACCTGAATTATGAATGCCTGTGTGCCAAACCCCGTGTTAGTGTGAGCACAGTGAGAGAAAGACTGCCCTGAAGATGTCTGTAGGTTAACAGAGACAAAAAGGCAAACCTAACAACTAAACAAGGTATACAGTGCCTTCTAAGAGGTATAAACAAGGCCCATGGAGCATTTGGAGAAATATGAGATGACTGCTTGCTGGGTTGTGGGAAAGACTGCTGCATTTAGCGAGAGCTGTATGGAAGGGGCAGCATCTGAGCTAGGTTTCGAGAGTCAGGACCTGGAGAGACAAGACGGCATGACAGCTGAGGGGAGGCCGGCCTTTCTAGCAGAGAAAGCCAGCGCGAGGCTGAGCCACGGGAGGCACTCACACTCAGGCGTGTGCAGGTGCAGGGGTGGCGTGTGAAAGCGGGTAACTTCTTAAATTTTGCCCCTGGAAACCTGGCTTGCCTCCTCTAGTCACAGCTCTGAGAAGAGTTCAAGATGGTTAAAACAGAGTGAGTGAATGAGCAGAGAGAGAGAGAGAGAGAGAGAGAGAGAGAGTGCTGGTAAGCTGAGCCAGTTCTTTCCCTCAGGAAGATTTATTTCTGGGGAGGGAAGTTCTTTAAAATCAGGGTGCTCTTGAGGCTGGTACTCAAGAAGAAACACAGAGCGAGGAAACCGGGGGAGCATGTTGTCCATCCCTGCAGAGTACAAAACCCAGAAAGGGATGTATTTAAAAGGAAAATCCTAAGAACCTTTGATGGCGGTGGCTATCCTCCCCGTCATCTCCATATCAGGCGTCAGTCGTCAGACACACAGATTAGAGAACCCACGGATCAGATTGCTGCCTTCCTCCTATTCCTCTATGTCATAGAAAGCTGTCTTTCTTATTCTCTCCCTTTTCACTAAGGCATGACACAACCTCCCTAATGAGGTTCTACTCAATTTAAGCACTGAGTACAAGCTAAGAGAACCACTGTGAAGGTTCAATTAAGAGATACCCTGGGATTTGACAATTACCATATGCTAATTCTCAGAACCTTTGGAAAGTTTTTCTTCCTTTGGGATATGTAGGTTGCTTTGTCAGCAATAAAGTTCTGTCTGCTTTGTGGAAAAGGAATGGCTGTTCCAGTGAGGGGAACTGAACTAGTGAGGAAGAAGAAACTGCAAATGAAAGTAAGGCATTTGAACCTGTGTCAAAGTCTGGTTCATGGTTTATGGTGAGACCCATTCCTTCCTTCAACAAGTATATACTGAGCACCTGCTCTACATCAATCACTGCAAGACACTGGAGATAAAATCTGAACACAGGAGACATGCTCCTGTCCTCACAGAAGTGACAACCTAATGGGGATACAAAGACTCAGGTGATTATGATACAGGACGGCTCTTGCTCTGATGGGACAGTGAGGCAGAGGCCCCGAGAGAGGCACCTTTGCTTGGATCATTCAGGGGAGCATCCAAAAGGAAGTGTTCTCAATTTTAGAGCCAAAAAAGCAGGAATTCACCAGAGGGAGGGGGAGAGAATAGGAAATGTTCCAGGAAGAAAAAAAAAAAAAAGAAAATAGCATATGAAGGCCCAGAAAAGACAGTACATGGTATGTTTGAAGAACTGAAAAAAAATTTAGCAAGATCCAAAATGAACAATACAAGGTGGGCAATGCCAAGGACTGAGGGTGGAGGCAGGTGGGCCAGGCTGTGGGCACTTTGCAAGCCTGAGGGCTTTTGATGAGGGAAATGTGATCAGAAAAATCCCTCCAGTGATATGGAGGATGGATTGTAAGGAGGTAAGACCAGAGTTATCCAGATGCAAGTGTATGGTTTCCTGAACTAAGGGGAGGGATACTGTTAGGAGGTAGGGAGAAGACATGAATTTAAAATTTAGGTAGAAAATAGAACAAGTAGGAATTGTTCACTTAATTTATGGGAGAGGGGAAAAGATAGAGGAAGAAGTTAAGGTGCTATCTTGCACAGTGAACGACAGAGTCCCTCACTAAAATTGGGAACTTAGAGAAACTGGGAAGAGAAGAAATTAAGCTCAGTTTGGCCCCAGATCAAACTGTCTTCACAAGAGCTGGGCTGGAGAAATAGGTGGGGCATCTTATCAGTGGCAAGGAATTGAGGCCATGGGGCAGATGATATCAATCAGGAAAAGAGGCATACCGCTGTTTAATTGTGCTACGCATATGTTGCATATTTTACAAATTAAAGTCAAACCCCCACAGACAAAAAAGATTACAATTTACTTTATTGTGATACTTGCTTTATTGTGGTGGTCTGGAACCGAACTCGCAATATCTCCAAGGTATTCTTGCATAGAGTAAGAAAAGGAGTTGGCCTAGGATTGATTCCCAAGGGAACACCATTTAAGAAAAAGAAGAGGAAACTCTAGGAGAATGAGGAGAAATGGTGCCAAAGAAGCTAAGGGAAAGGGGATCAACGATGCCAAATGCTATAGAACAATTATAATCCAAGATAATTGTTGGATTAACAGGGAGCCATTGGTGATCTTGGTGAGGGCAGTCAGTAGAGAGGTGGCTGAAGAATTATTGGGAGATGAGGAAGGAAGAGACGAGTGGAGACAACTCTTTCAGTAAGACATGTAAGTAGAGAGAAACAGGTCTTGGAGAAAGTGTAGCTATCCGATCATAGTTGCACTGGCTCCAAAGTGACCAAGATGACTCTACCTTGAAGATTTGCCAAAGGAACATTTAAGGAAACAGGAGACAAACAAGTTCATTTTTATAGATTCTATGGTTTAAATTCAAATAATTCATTTTTAAACGAGAAAGTTGGTGCCTCTTCTCCCTCTCTGGGTAGAAAAAAATTCTTGGCCTAAAGAGAAGGGATGTAGAAAAACTTCTGGAAGAAAGCCAAATAATCACATATGCATGGGGAAGGAAAAGAGCACTCAGTAAAGTCAATCATTTGGAAAATTTTCCACATAAATACCTATAGCCCTTTGAGGTAGCAGATTTTCCCCACATTAAACTGTTATGAAAGTCAATGTCAGAATGTGGCTAAGCTCAATCGTCTTTACGTTGCGCACTGAATTCCCAAACAGGTATCCTAGGTGCATCTCTCAGCCTGTTTTCATGCTCCCTGAGTCCACAAAAATGGAAAGTGCTGGAGAAGAGGCATTTTCAACTTCTCCTGGGGGAGGAGAAACATCATATTGTTCAAAAGCAGCAGCTGCTGCAGGATCAGGCACAGAATTAGCAACAATCTGAAAAGGATTTTAAGCCTCCAGGCCTGAGTGTAGTTGAAGGGGCAAGAAGCTTTCGTGTGGAAATGAAGAGTTTACATATCATTTAGAAGACTTTTTATGTGTGTACTGCACCCTAAGAGAGGAGTTTACAAACGCCAATGGTTTGGAAACACCTCGAATTTTAGTGACAGTCTCCCTTTGCTTCAGTGAAACTTCAGGAAGAACTTGGCAAAATATTAAGCACTAAATCTTGGCCTCTTTGTCTGAAGTTACAGGTAACTTCAGTCTAAAAAGAAGCTACAGTAGCCAAGAGGTGAACAAGGCTTCTGAAGAATAGCTGATAGTGCCAGGTTCTCCATTTTTTAAAGAAAGATTTAAAGCAGTAAGGAAAGCAGTGCAAAGATGCATTTTAATTAGAGTACTCTAACCAGTATCAAACTCCCCACAAAGTGTTTCAGGGAAGTAATTTACCCTACCGAATTCAAGGCAGTTTTGTAAACAAACTTGCTACTTGATGTTTAGGGCATGTGGCTTACGTGATATTGAACATGAAATCTTTTAAACAGACCCATGCCCATGGTGTTACT